CCGTTTCTCCTAAATCCAGATTTCTATGTCAGAATCTAGAAAGTGGGAAGAAATCAACATGTAAATGTTAAAAAAGATGTCTAAAACATTCTTTATTTATGTAGGCTTCTGTCTTTATTCAAGTACCCAAGAAGACACCACAAGGGAAGAGGATGTTCTGGGGTAGAAAGCACAGCACGCTGGGCAGACCTTCCTCCACTTCTATTTCCTTCTGCACGGGGTGCTGAGCAGCCCGGCCCTGGGAGCTCAGGTGCAGATGGACTGGACATTTCCAGCTATGAGGAATGAGCTCCGATGGAGCAGCTGGTGGTGGTTGGGGCGGGTGGGGGGGTCAGCAACTGGAAGTGAGCACGTGGAACATTCTAGCTGTGATCTGTTTTGGGGGGGAACTGCAGAGCTGGGAGGGGAGGCGCAGGTCCCCAGCCTGGCTGTGTCCTGGCACTCCTGGCTCCCCGAAGCCTCACTCTCCACCGCCTTCAACTCACCCTCCGTCGACACAAGTCCCCCTGGGGCCTCCAAGGCCCCTGCAGCATCAAAGCAAGTCACTTCCTGGGACATGTGCGTATCTCTGTTAATTCCTTTGGCCTTCCATTTTTACATTTTTATAGGTTTTCAGCCTTAGTTTAACAATAATTTGTGATCAAGATTAAATTAAAGTTTATTTTGTTTTAAGTGACATTTTCACAACCCATTTGAACTTAGGTCTCTGTCGGAGAAATATTTACAGAGAATTAACATCAAATTGCATGGTATAAATGCCATGCCATTCAACTATGTAAATAGCAGCTGAGATGTTTAATCGAAAATAAAACACTGGCAAACGTAAACATCATTTTTGTTCCAGTTGCTGCGAGGTAGGCTTCAACGGCACAAATGAACACAGTAACTGATGGTGGAAGTTAGTGTTTGTAACAGGGACCAATAACTCAGCGTGTCTGGAAACCCTTTTGGTAATTGCTGTGCTCTTCAAGGCTGTCCAGGCTACTTCTCCAAACACATCATTTGTTGCCGTGAAGATTGGCTGTTCGAGACGCCCTACGCCGGCACTTCAATGGACGATTCCATGCGCCATCAGAGATTTGCTTCCTTCACTCGTTCAGCTATTCTCTGGCTGTAAATTAGATATCGCTCCGGCCTGCTTTGCTCTCTCAGGCAACTACCAGTGCACCTGGCACCCGGACCATCAAATCGTGCTCGTCTGTTTACGTACCTTTCACTTTGTGTTGTGTGGAACAACCGCTGCATCTCGAGTAAAACCTTCACAGCCCACATCTCGACAGCCATAATATTCGAGGAAACCCGCATACTTGGTCATGGGACAGGAAAGGTGTACTTACTCTGGGGATAGTTCCCTAAATACACCTACGTTGTGGGAAGGGGTCTTCTATTCCAGTTTGATAGGCTATGATATGTGGGGATGAAATGGTAATGCCTTTTGATCCAAACTTTCGCATAGGTGGAGGATTATTTCAGTGATCCCAACTGACTACATAATTTGTCTTTAAATGGCATTAATGGGCGAGCTTCTGTTAGTTTTCTTGAACGACTGAGGACTGAAAAAAATAATAATTTACTATGAAGAGCACAGATCTGGAATCAGACCTCTTAGATTAACTATGAAACCTTTGTCAAGTTCCATAACTTATTCTACTCCTCAACTTTCTCATCAATAAAATGGGTATAGAAAAATACCTAGTTCACTGGGCTGTTGTAAGGACTAAATGAGGTAACATAGGTAAAGTGATGAGAACAGTGCTTGGTGTGGTTAGTGCTATATACATGTAATCATTATTCATTTAATGAGTAAATATTTATTAAGAGTTCCATTGTTTAGCATTGACTAATATGCATCACTCTTCTATATTATTATTATTATCTTTTATGGGAAACAATTCTTTTTTTTTAATTTCGGCATATTATGGGGGTACAGATTTTAAGGTTTCAATAAATGCCCATTCTCCCTCTCCCCCCACAAGTCTGAGTCTCCAGCATGACCATCCCCAGATGGTGCACATCTCACTCATTATGTATGTATATACCCGCCCCCTCCCCCCTCCCAATACCCTATTACTGTAGTACCTATGTGTCCACTTAGGTGCTGCTCAGTTAATACCAGTTTGCTGGTGAGTATATGTGGTGCTTGTTTTTCCATTCTTGGGATACTTCACTTAGTAGTATGGGTTCCAGCTCTAACCAGGAAAATATAAGATGTGCTCTATCACCGTTGGGAAACAATTCTTTAAGGAAGTAAATATGATTATAAGTTCTCACTGTTTCTTTCCTCACTGTGAAGGCCACTTTTTGAAGAGTTAGAATCTGATGGAAACGTGCTCAGATCTGGCAGAATTCTTAGTGTGAATGCTTCCTTTATTCATTTAAAGGCCAGCATCTGGGCCTTAGTGAGCACATATGCAATAAAGTATTACTGTGGCCTTTTTTCAGGAGGGTGAATATTTATTGCAATAGAAACATTTCAAAACACATTATTGTGTTTAAAAATAGATTATAAAATAGCAGGTGCAGAATATTTCCATTTTTTTTAGTAGAAAAGTAATGCCTATGAATGCACAAATAATTGATATTTTGACCTTTTAAAAAGGTGGTTTTATTTTATTCAAATGGGAAAAATATCATGAAAGGTAAAGTCCCGTGTTGAACTGCATTTTTTTTGCCATCATTTAGCGAAATGTTTATGTGCAAATAATGCTTTTATGTTTTATATCTTATACAAAGAAAATCCAACTATGAGCTGATAAGCATCACCTAAAGTGAAAAATGAGAAAAATCTGACTTACGCTCACCGAACATTGGAATCCAACGTGAGACTAGTGTATTCTCTTTAGTTGAGAAATGGCCAGACCTTGTTATCTGTCACAAGGGGCCAAGATCCCAGGATAGGTGACCTCCCTGTCTGTTCCCTACGATTGGAGTTAGTCAAAAAACCTGGGAGCCTTCGTACAACAGGACTTGTCACAGCAACCACGGTGACGTGGGGCTCGTCTGTTTTGTTTTCCATGCAGGGCATTCAATTTCCGAAGCTCAATGTGGACCTTGCCGGAAATAGGAAATCATTTCCCCGACTCAAAGGCTTTTAAAAACAGGCGAAACCAGCACATCTTTATGGCAAACTTTCATCATTTCGCGCACGTGTGTGTGTGTGTGTGTGTGTGTGTGTGTGTGTGTGTGTGTGTGATTCTGTCATCCAATTTCCCTTTTTGGTAGTCTCTGGCCCCGTTTTGGTGAAGCCTCACTGCGTGGAGTCCTGGAGCTGCACAGGTGGCTAAAGGAGGCAGGGCCTCCCCGTCCCTTCCCCGAGGTGACCGTGCGATTTGGACGTGGGCAATCAGCCGCTGTCTCCTGGGCGTTTGAGTCTTGAGTGAGTAGTATGGAGGGAAGGGATGGATGGAGGCACATTCCTGGCAGCAGGGGCTGCGGAGGAGTTGGGGGCTGCCCAGCTGCCTGGCCGCCCAGCTCTGTCGGACCCCCCGGCTCCTGGGCATTTTCCCAGCCTGGCGCTCCGGCCTCCCACTGATCCTGCCAGCCTCCATATGCCTCCACCAATACTCTCCCCACATTTCATTTTCCTTATGATAGTCACAGTAGGTTTCTAAGTCTTGCAAGCAAGAACTTTCATTGATGCCAACAATTCCAAAGCCTGAGTATATAAATAAAAGCCAACTTGAAAAGAAAATTTTGTAGCTGATTTAAAAAAAAATTTTTTTTAAAGCCAACATTTTACACCAAATTATCAATGCAACCAATGATAACCAGCCTTAGGGCGACTTAACCTCTAAGTAATGTTTTATTTGAAGCTATCAGCTATCGTGAAACTGTGTCAATTATGTGCTTCTGTGGGATTTCACAAATAAAATTTGCCCAGATGTGCTTTGGTCTGGCAGTCATCTCTCATTGGCCAGTGGTGGCATACACTGTAACTTGCTTCTGTATTTTCAGCACTTTTGCTTCTATTTGGGAATTAGAATTTTGACATTATTGGAAGGTACGATTCTAATGTCTTGGGAAGGTGGGGAAAAAGTAAATCAACAGACACGTAATTGGTTTCAATACCGTGCTTTTCAACAGTGAAATGTCTGCAGTGGTGTTATTAGCTGAGATACTGTAGATAGTTTTACATGTCAGGAACAATTAACACGTGTCCTGTGGGTCTGGTTACTAGCGTTAAGGAAGTTCTGCTCTGTGTAAACCCCAAAGCAAAGCCTCCAGGAAAGTTAAAGGTCCCTGTTCTACCATTAAAATGAGAAAGTAATGTGCCCCTTTTTGATTGACTATAAACATTGACTCGTGGGACTCTGTGCTCCAAGGTGAAAACAAACATGAGTAGAAGACAAGTTGTTTTCCTTAAAAATTCTTCAACCTTTAGTCGAAACCATTTATCAGAAGATTTCTTAAAATAAAACTACATCAATATTGCCCTTATGGTTAGCACAGGAAAAAAACAAGTTAAAAAGCCAAAGTGGATATTTTCCTAAAAATACAGCACAAAAGAAATCTTGCATGTTTAGGCTATCGCCCAGAAGAGTGATAAATTTGATATTTGATACGTGAAACCGTGGTTGGAGGCATTGTATGAGAAGTTGTAATTATAAAATATTTTAGGAGTAATGAAATGATTGAAAGTGAATTTATGAGACATCCTGATTATTGCATATCATAGGTCCTTGAAGTACGAAAGTAATTAGGTGAGATTCACACAAACACAGTAAATTAAATGCAGTACTGGTCACACAGGGCACCGTTCAGAGTCTCCATGGTATGTGAGGGGAGGCAGGCAGAGTCGAGCTGCAAACCCGGCCCTCCGCCCCCAGCCTCTTTCCCAACACCAAGTCAGAACTCGGGGGCCGGTTTCCTACAGGGGAAAGTGAACAGCGTGCACTACAAGAGTTCCAGCTTCCTATCAGCTCTGGAATTCCACGGTCCAAAACTTAATCTTTTAATGTGTTTAATCTTTGGTGCGGTTGTTTATGTTTTTCTCCTCTCAGGACGAAGGAAAAGCAGAACGGAAAGAAAATGGGACGTTAGAGCAGAGCAGACTTGGGGATGCAGAAGGCCCTGGCTCCTGTCCTTCCAGTCCAAAAACGACAGGCGGGAGGCACCGTCCCTCTGGCGGCCATCACCCAAGACAGAGAACACGTCTCTTCACACCACGGTCCTGGTGCCAGGATGGAAAGCCCAGGACGAAAGAGGCGGTGTCTGCCTCTCACAAGCAGCCCCGTGGCTTTGGACGAATTCGGTGGCCCCCGTGGGGGCCCTGCTATCTTCCAAAGAGGAGGTGGCCAGACTTGCCAGACTCTTTCCCACTCTTACATTCTTTGATTCAAAGAAGCCATGTGTTGGGCATAGTGACCCGATTTGTCTAGCAATTCAAGGCGGAGCTTTCCTCATTTCACCTAAACCGTCATCGTTCCAAACTGTAAAGTAGAGACAGCTCCAAACTCGAGACTCAGCTTGTCATTTTTAAACTACGACAGGCGGGTTCTGGACTTTCCCTCCGAGAAAGGAAATACGAAGAGCTGGGCAGGCAGGCAGGCGAGCCGTGAAGTTGTGGGGAGGTAGAGAGAGCAGACGCTTCCCTGCCAGAGGCAAGAAAGCTGCAGGAGGAAAGTGCAAGAAAGCAGCAGCAGCAAAGCAAAGCAGCACAGGGGAAGAGGCGGGGGAGGAAGAAGGAAACAGGGCGAGGCCTCTCTTGCCTGCAGGTCTTTGAAGTGAGGCCAGAGGGGAGGATGGCGGGATGGGAGGTCAGGAGACAGAGTAGGCGGAGACCCCTCGAGAAGAGGTCAATAGCTGCGTGTCAGAAGTGCTTTATCCGAGCAAAATGCCCTGTGCCCTTTTACCTGCTTTTTAGAGGAATAAACCAATTCTGTGGAACTTTCCCAAGGCCCTCATGCAAGAAGAGTTCTATGGTTTAGAGCCTACAAAGAAACAAAGAAAAAGAAGATACTCTGCATTTCTAGGATCTTTTTAAAATTAGCAATAAGAACAAACTACGGAAGAGATCCGGTGTTTCATACTTTAAGATCCTTCAGAGCAAACCGGTTTTATTTTTACTTTGGGGTGCCAGGGTGCGGCTGGCAGCGGTCTGGAGAGCCCCCTTGAGTTGCTGGCCGGCATCTGGCTGGCTCTGCAAGGCCGGTGCCGCGCAGCTCTGCAAATCACGAATGAGGACAGGGGTCTCGCCTCTTCTCGGGCCGTTCTGATTCCGAAGCCATTCTAGCCAAAGGCCGTAGCGGAGGTGAATGTAAGTTTGCTTTGGCAAAACCTGTCTTCTTCTTCAGATAGCAGAGTGGATGACTGGGTAAAATTAGCAAAGGTTGCCATGGAAACGTTAGGAAAGTTTGCCGAAAGTGTAGGAGACGGTAGCTCAAGTGGTATTTCCTTGAAGGAGTTATCCAAAGTGCTTCACATCAGTAAGTTCCAGGGAGATACTTTTTATTTTTTTTTTTAATTAATTAATTCTTTTGTTTGTTTTAAATTAGAAAACCAAACCCTCTCCTTTCTGTTTGTCAGGTTTCATGCGTGTGAAAGGGATGCGGCCAAGTTTTTATTTGCTTGGCTGCCCCGGAACGTGCAGTCGTGCAGCTGCCACTCGGATGATTAAGAGGGCTCGCAGCAAACCTCCACCTCTGACTGTTTAATTTACCAGGACTTTTAAAAGCAAGGCTGATAAAATTCATAAATTTATCACATCTCTAGTGGTGGATGGCACTCCTCAAGTCCATTTCTAAAACTCTGTGGTCCTGTGCTTTTGTAAAAGCCGGGTCATTGATGACAAACCTAATGCAGGACGATCAAGTCATAACTAACCTTTAAACGTTTCCTCGAAGGTTAAGACCAGAGGATCTGAATTAAAAAGTAGCAGGATCCTTGCTCTGATCTTTTCTGACATTTCCCAAATCCACAAGGCAGAGGGCATGGTGCAGGGCTGGGGCACAAACTGTTTCATGCTCCACTGGCAAGTTGGTTTTTGGAGGCTGGGAAAAGAATACACCCCCCCACACACACACACATTATGCAACTAATATTTGATTTGCCTATGAGTTTGCGTTTAATGAAAAACACTCATCTGCGAGGAAAATTTAAGAGCATAGATATAATAAATAATCGCAGTCACAAAATGCTGAGATGCAAATTTCTATCGTTTGATAATAGTTTTTTAAAAAATTTTCTCATTCTTCTAAGCTCTTCTAGTATAGTTGTTATACAAACAATTGATTTAGTACCATATTAAGGTTATGAAAATGGTTAGAGGCCTGTTTAATCCTTGAAAAAGGATTACATTACCTCCTCTTTTAATTGTTGGTCAAAATTTCAAGTAGAATGGAATATTTTACATACGTGATAACAAGCAAACTTCCTGTTTCTTACAAGATGGATGGTTAGTTGTCTTTGTATAACCAAGTCTCACTCTCTGAATAAGCAGGTCAGGTAATGCTAGACTTGGTTATAGCTGTGGGTACCTTGAGCACCTCTCAAATCAATAATGACAGAGGTAGCCTGATAGCAATTTATGAACCACGGTCCTCTGGGGGAACATATTTCAAACCATAACTTCATCTAAACTGTTTATCGGCTAAGCTCACCCAAATGTATGAAGTGTCAAAAAGTTTCTTTGACATTAGGCTTGTTATTGTCCTTTGATTTATGCACTTAAGCAAAACGTAGTAAATAAAAAGATTGTTTGGTGGTTTGGTATTTTAAGGAAATGATTAGAAACATTTGCCAATGCTATTCATTTTATACACTTTTTTTTTCCTTTCTAAGTTAAAAAGAAAGTGTTTCCATTCAGTGAATGACTTCACAGTAACAGAGCCTTAAATGATCATTATGGTAAGCAGAAATGCTGATGAAGTCTCTATGAAGTATTCGGAAAACTCTGAACTAAATATGTAATGTTCACATACAAAGTATTTGTCTCTCTGCTTGAATTTTTCATGCCTCACAGCTCCCAAAATGTCCCCTTTATAATCTGAGGCATATTTATGGTGGTAAATATGAGTTATTCAAAACATGGTCATTGTATTTTAGTTGGTTTTTGTGGGAACATTCACATAGAAAATGCAAAGGTCTGTTCTCTTGAAAAACATCCTTAAGAAAATCCTTGGGTATAGACAAAGCATTTTTATTTGCTTAGGAAAGGAAATATTGACTTTTCAGATTTTTTTGATGATGGAATATTATAATTAGAGGTACAAAATGCGTTAAAAGGCAAACTCTAAAGAATCTGTGAGCAAGATTTCATTTCAGTATTGTAGTCCCTGATTTTACATTTCATTTTCAGTTTGAAACTTTTCATTCTTATAATTATTTAACTAGATTTTCATATTAGGCAATTCCAGGCAGAATGTATATAAAAACCCAAATATGTGATTATAAAAGTTGGCCAAGAATCCCAAGGAATTGGATAATGAGTTTTTTATTTATTTATTTATTTTTTTTTTTATTTTTGCGACTACCATCGAAAGTTGATGTATAATGAGTTTTTAAAAGCTTAATTTTTCCTTTCAAAACTTGCATAACTAGAATTTACTTGCACATGAAGGGAAGCAAGAACCCTGTTGGAGACACACACATTTTAGCGCACGGTTGCTTGCAGGGGGACTACTTCTGTTTCCAATACGTGCCCTTCTGAGTGCTTACCTACTGAGTTGATGGGCACCACAAAAAAAAAAAGTCCCAGACATAAAAGAACAAATGAACACACAGATATCTATACCAGCATTGTTAACTTGATAGTGAATCTGTTTCCTTGAAAACAGGATACAGTGAATCTGTGTCTATTTAATGGAAAATGGCTGCGAAATTTACTGGAGAATTAGGAGAAAAGACTTCCTGATGGAGCCAGAGGTTCTGATCTGCGATCCTTCAAAGCAAGACTGTTTCCTAGCCTGGCCAGTATTCCTACAGAGCATCCTATGCCTATTGATAAGTTATCGGAGTCCTCTCCGGAATCAGCTGGTCAGGAAGGATGCGGAGGGGAGGGAGGGGGGACATTGATAGTGACCCAGTCTGATCGCCAAGGTATGAGGGGGCTGGGAGTTGAGAAAGGAAGAGCGAGGGAGGGAACAGATGGGAAAGAGAGAGAAAGAAATCAAACAGGAACGGCAAAACAAAGCAGGGAGATGACAGCTAGATAGAGAAAAGCATCCTTGTACATGGAATAGCTTTCCAAATCTCCAGGCTCCTTAGGACGTGATTGCTCACCTGGATTTCATGGCATTCTAAAGTCTCAGAACCCACCAAAACTGTGTACATATATGTGTATATATGTGTGTATCTACGTACATTTTTCTTTTCTGGCGTGACCTTTTCTTTGATCTGATTCTCCAAGAGGATCCACGACTCAGTAAAAGTTAAGAACTATTGCTTTAGTGGGATCACACACAAACTTGAAAGACAAATGTCTTTAGATACCATTGATTGATCCTTTGCGTTACATGAGGTCAGCATTTTTCATGTCAAGTGTCCTGGGCCGGTGGGGAAACAGTACGGTAAGGGAAGGGGCATTGATTTGGAGCCAGATATTTCTGGGACACAAACACTGCGTGGGAGGCTAAATGATGGTATGAACCTGGGCAGGTTTCGTTGCCTCCTTAACTCTGTTCTCCTGCAAACGAAGGTGATGACGATAGTGACTGCATAGGGCTGTTGTAGAGATAAATAGCAATACAATCCTAGCCTACATTTATCAGGTGCTTTCTGTCTTCCCTGCACTGTGATACACATTTTGTACGCCGTATGTGATTGAATCTTCTCAACCACGCAGTGAGATTGATGTTATATTTATTTATGCTTTGCAGAAGGGGAAACTGAGGCAGAGAAGGCAAGAAATTTGCTCAAGGTCCTGAAGGTCATGGCCGGTGGAGGTGGAACGTGGACACGGGGCATGTGACTGCAGAGCCCGAGCCCTTTGGCCTGGAGACAGACAGGAGCGAGGCGCCTGCCGGGGCAGTTGCTTAGCTGCCGCCGACAGTGACGGGAGGGGACCCTGCTTCTTCCATGAGCGCCTGCCACGAACTTCCCCACGGAAGCTGCCCCTATTTCTGAAACATGTATTATTATTTTATTTTCCCTCCACATCGAACATTATTACACTGTTCTGTTCCTTCCTTTCCTTTCCTCCCCTCCTCCCAGATGCTTCCTGGGTTTCTGTGGTTCTGCAACTCTAAGGGAGGAAGGAAGGCAAGAGCCGAGATGTCAGTTTCAGAAGAAAACTAATTTCCCATCGCCCACAAACACTTGTTTCCCAGGCACTCCAGGAGAAATCGTGTCTCTCCAGACACCTAGTTTTCTATCAGAATAAGATTGAATACTTGAGAAGTATCATCCTGGAAAGAGAAGACCCAATCTACTCTAGGTGAAAAAACCCCTAGAGATAGAAAAGTTTTGGTTTTTTTTTTTGTTTTTTTTCTGGCTAGCCAATTTTCTGTAGACAATTATGTGCTGTAAACAGGTATGATATGATTTGGTACTTTACATTCAAAGAAAGTTCACAAATTTTCTTGTCTTGGAATGTTTTCTCTTTTTTCCCCCCAAGGGATCTGGGTATTCATGAATGCGTTTAGTGCACTTAAATCCTAGAAAAGCACATATATAAAAAATGTAAAGTTTCTTTTTCTTATAATCAAACATTTTCTCCTTTTTGTTCTTTTTTTTTTTAGTGCTGCTCGTCAACAAAATGACCGGCATTGGCCTTAAGGGAATCTTATTATCCAAATTTCTGGGGATATTTGAAAAGATATGTCCCAGTTGAAATAGGCCGCCTTTTCTTTCTTCTAGGAGAGAGCGGTTTCCGGGAGGAGCGGGCGGCATATGGAAGGCCTTAGCTTATCTTTAGAGCCTGATACACCTGACCTGGACCCCAGCAAGGCCGATGGGATTAGGCCTCAGAGACAGGGTGTCAGTCACCGTGAGGGATGGGCTGGGGCGTTCTTTAATTTTTTCCTTCGGGTCACATGTAAGCAACAGTTTGCCAGTGCTGACGAGTGTTGTTAACAATGAGATGGGATATAATTTTGTTTCTCCGATGACTCTGCTTACAAACAGAATAGCTACCTTTTCTGTTAAATGATTTAAATGAAGCTCTGGGGAGGAAAAGGAGGCTCGGCAGATCTCTTAAAGGAAGTTTCTATTTCAGTGCTTTATTCTAAGGCTAAGAGTTCAGCTCCCTGCAGTAACCCAGTTCAATTAAACAGTGCTTTCAGTAATTTTTTTTTTTTTTTTCGCTAAAGTTCAGATCGTGATGCCAGCCATGGTGATTCAAAAACAATCAAAGAAATCTCTGTTTCCCCACGGAGTGGCTGAATTGCTGAGATACTTCAGCCCCGGACCGTCTCGGCCCGAGTGCCCGAGCAGCCTCCCAGGGGCCCTGTAACAAAGCCCTCTTTGCCCGTTTCTTTTCCCAAAACGTAATTTCCTTCATTTCCAAAGATCACCTTTTAAAAACCCAGTGAAATCATGGTGCCCTCACTCCTTTTCAGAGCTTTTGGTCTTCAGGTCAGAAAACAAACTGTTTTTAGGAAAGGAGTCTCTGAACGAGCCGTCCGTCTGTCCGAGCCGTCTCAGCACCCAGTAGCCTGGGACTGCCTGGGGGTTTCGGACACAGTACGAGTCACTCCCGTCCGAGGCTCCCGAGAGGCTGGGAGTGAGGTTTCCCGACACTCCCTCAACATCTCCTCCCTCCCCCTCTTACCTCCTTCTCAGAAGCAGCCATGGCTGCACGGAGGGGCCTCCCCGGTGCCTGGAGGGCCCCTAATTCCTGCCTGTCAGCGCCTGCCTGCCCCACTCTCCCCGCCAGGATAAGGCCCGGATAAGCAGCCCAACTCCTGGGTGCCTTTCCAAATGGAAGCCAACCTTTAGACCTCCGGGGGCTTACCCAGTCTTCTTCACGGCCCCAGGATGAGTTTGGAACGGGTTTTCTCTTAATGGGTTCTATTTGTGGGTGGGGGAGGTAAGGCTGCTCGGCCAGTAACTTCAAGTAAGGGCAAAGGGCCGCGCAGGAATGTGAGGGTGGCCAGACCCCAGGAAGGTGCTCCTGGCAGGCGCTGGGAGGGCCCGAGCGGCTGTTGAACGGAGATACTGTGTCTCACCTGACGGGCGTCACCTCCTGCCATGACAGCTGCGCTTGAGTGGCGATTTGGAAAAAACAGTAGAGCTGACACAGAAACACGAAAGGCACCACTTTGCGATGCAGCGAAGCGAATATGCATGCAAGGGATTCTGGTTTCGGGAAAATCCTGTCGCATTGTGTGACGTGTGCATCTGGCTCTAGAAGTGTAAGCGTGGTAAGAACTGAAAGGGACCTACTTAAAAATACCAAGATTTCCTTAGAATTTCCACTTTTGGCGTGGCTCCTTCCCATTAAAATAAACCGTTCCGTGTCTGCGCGTCCAGGTGGCTGCTTTCAAGCCGGGACCGGGGCCGGCGGGAAGAGTGGGGCGGGGGCCGGCGGCGCCTTCACTGTGGCCGCGGCCTGTGTCACGGCCCACGCGCGGTCTAGTGAGTGGCCGGGCCCCGGGTGTGCGTGCGGGCGTGCTGCGCCCCCGCGCAGCTGTTTGGGTCACGCTGTAAATAATGGGGAGAACACACTACAGTTGGGCAACGAGGCTCCTGTAGAATAAGCCTACTCTCCTTCTTTCAAGATGAAATCTGCTTCCCACGACCGAAAAGCAGGATCACTAACATCTCCTTCGGCAAGAAACAGGGATGCAACAGCAGAGCTCGTGCAGTCAGTGAAGCTGCAGAAAGGCGTGCGGCGATTTATTTATTTATTTATTTATTTAAATATCAAAATGCCTTAAGAAGTTGCAGATATTTTGGTCACATGGACACACTGCATAATGCCAAAGTCAGGGCTGTCCGTGTACCCGATAGGTACGGTTTCGTCCCTCGCCCCCCATCTTCTTGGTTTCCAATGTCCTTTACGTCTCTTTGTGCCCATGTGTGCCCATCATTTAGCTCCCGCTTATTGGTGAGAACGCGTGCTGTTTGTTTTTCCGTGCCTGAGACACTTCACTTAGGATAACGGTTCCAGTTCCATCCACGTCGCTGTGAAAGATAGTATTTCATTCCTTCTCACGGCTGAGTAATGCCCCATGGTGTATATACGTGCCACTTTTTCTCTGTCCACTCATGAATCGGTGGGCACTCCATACCTTAAAAGGAATAAGATTTAATCTCACCCTCGGGAAGGCGACGGTGAGGTCAGGAACGAGGACGAGCCGGGAGGACAGCAGGACGGCTTTGTGCACGGCGGCGTAAGGCAAGCGCTGACTGTGTGACACTGTTGAGCGGCACTCCGGGAAGAACCGATGGCGTTCAGGGCAGACGAGCGCATAAGCAATGGGACTTGAAGCAAGGCTTGAATGGAAGCGGGCACTTGTTAGTAGAGGAGTGGGGAAAACGATTCGGCTTATGGGGTGGGTTTCATTTTTGTTTGCAGTCATGAACCTCTCTCCTTCCCTGGAAGACGGTCATCCACACTGGCTAGTTGCAGCGTGATTTGTGATTCCTGCTTGCAGGAGGAGAACACCTTCTTGGCTCACTGATGCCGGGCTTGCCTATGTGCCTCGCTTTGGCGGGTGAACTCTGAGCGAACCCCGACGCACGCCACAGCAGAGCAGGAGCGTTGCACGTGGCTGCGTGTTTCGCTCCTGCCCTCTGCCTTGAGAAAGGGTATGTCCCGGCCAGTGGCAGCTTCCTGGCTACGGGCTCCAGAATGAAGTGACAACGGCAGAGCAGGGCTGGCACCTGGAGCAGGCAGCAAGCCCGCTAAAAGACCTACACGTGCTGTGAAGGAGAGAGAAATATTTGGTGTAGCCACCGCGTTGTTTGAAGTTGGTCCCTACTGCAGAACAGCTGACTGACGCAGGAAGGAAACACAACCTGAGCAGATGCGTGGGCACAAAGGCTACACGTCCGAGGGGCAGTCAAATAAACGTCTCATCTGTCGGAGGCAAGGGGTTTGTGTGGGAGAGGGATATAGGAAAACGGTTGGGCCGCAGTATGGAATCCTCGAATAGCAGATTAGGAACATTGGCCTTAATGTATAGGAAGTGGGAAAACACAGAGGATTGTGAGCACAGGGGAAAAGGAACAAAGGGAGAATTTTAGGAATATCTGTCTGGCAGTGGTGTTAGGATGAAGAGGAAAATGGGGAAGAAACCAGTCAGCAGTAGCATATTCTTGAGCACGTGCTTTAAAAACGTTCCCAATGAAAAATGATTATCTTGTTGGAGGAGGGTGGAATGCCCACATAAAAATGCAAAAGAAAAAAATCTCTACCGGGCAAAACAACTTCAGGGTAAAAATATTTGATATGACCATGGTAACACAGATGTTTTCGGAAGCCAGGGAAGCAGAGCAACCTGCCGTGGTTTGTTGACATCCTTCTCAAGCCGGTGCTTCGTGGGCCTACACGAGCCCCGAGCTGGAGCCGGCAAGGCCTTCGTAATTCGAGTGTGCTCCTTCTCCTTGAACACAGACTCCAGCTTATGTGCAATCTTTCCCTGTGGTCTGAAGATCCACCGTTCATGGGGTATGGAGCCGGTGGCATCATGGAGTGCAAGAGAAATACTCAACGTACAGCATCTATAAAACTTCAACACGTGCGTGAACAGGGATAGAAATTTAACACTGAGGGGGGCTATCTGGTATTCCACAATCATATGAAGTTTACTTGCCTTCTGTTTCACTCAGCGCTTCGCTTGCTTTGGGGCCACCCACGAGCTTCTGTCACATCTAAACAGGACAACTGTCTTACATGGATTCTACGAACTATCTTGCATTCTGCCAAATGATGTCTCATCAGACAAATTAGTTCCCTGAGGGAAGTGGCTCATGCCAACCACAGCACTCAGCCAGGAAGGAGGGTCTTCTACAAGTTACAGTCCCCACCTGTGTGCAGACGTGAATTTGTTCCGCTTCTAATTCCTCCGCAGAGCCGTCTTGATTGCCGTGGGGCGTTTTTATTCAGCCCGATCGCTGTGCACGCCTGCAGTCTCATAAAGCCTGGCATGTCACTGCTGCTCTGAAAGTGTCCTGCTTTGTGAGCCACACGTTTAATGAATGGAGAGTATCCGAGCACATTGCATTCACTTAAAAAGGGAAAATCCTTTTAAATGGCTATAGCTGCAGAAATTCAATTTCGTTTATTTAGGAGGAAATGAGAGACTTGAATTGTAGGTGTGAAGTCTTAACAATCTTTCAGACCGATGAAAACACGGTGTTGGGGGGTGGTTGGGACCGCCCGGAATTGCTTCAGCCTCGGTTATTTTTGCGAGCACATTCCCAAACTCACGATCATGTTTTGATAAGAAAAATCCCTTTCTCCGCGAGTTCTCAGGTCCCACTCATTGGCCCCTGCCCCCAATTCTGGGGCCTATGTCAAGCTGTTATGTGGCTCAGCTCTCGGTGATATGTTTTCAATTTGAGTCAACTTGATGAGGGAAAAATTACTAAAAAGTGGGAATGAGCTGCGAGGTGAATGGGGTTTTCCTATCAAAGTGG